CTGCATGGGTTTACCGTGCGTTCTTGCTATTTGGTATGAGTTACCTCCTACAAAGATATGTCTTCTTGCTTAGCTTTACTTTCTGCTCACTGCCCTGTTGTGAGTGTTTGTATCTGTGAAATTAAGGTATGTGCAAAGATGGGATCTATAATTATTGGTGGGGGAAAAAAAAGCAAATAGCTTTTGTAAAAAGCCTTTTACTGCTATTTTAAAAACATGCAAGATAGAATTTTGAAATTATTCTTTACCTCACATTCACAATCAGGTTAGTCATGTGAGTTATCAAATGGCATTTGAAAATAATTAGGTGTCCATACTAACACCCTTAGTGGGGATGAGCCAGTCTTGGAGGGAGGAAGCTGAGAGATGGTTCACTGGTTACTTTTGTTCATATAAGATTGCCTCTAATTATAGTGTGAAAACCAAGAGAGTTACTGCTGTCTGTGTTGTATGGCAGAGCATGGGACAGAGATCCCGCACCAGTGTCAGGGTAGCAGATAAAGATCTTAGTTGGGGTCTGAAAGTACCATAACTGATCTACGTAGTCAGGCTTTTCAGCTGGACTTCTTTGATACAGTGCTGTGACGATACAGGTGCGTGGTTTTTTTTGTTTTTTTTGTTTTTTTTTATTCTGGAGGCATTGCAAAGTAAACGTGTCCTTTAAATACAGGACAAAAAATTACAGCTTTTAATTGCAATTGTAGGTATGTGGGTTTTTTAGATGATATTCTGTAAAACTTGATAAATATTGTTTATCATAATTTGACTGAGAACACGGAGACTTACTGTAATATAAATGTCTTTAGATGTGGTAAAAGGACTAAATGAATGAACCACATGGATTTTATTAAGATGGCTGTATATGCAGTTTTTAAAAAGTCACTTTTTGATGCTTCTGCATAAGAGACTCTAAACTCCCTCTGGTTTTAGAGTGCTAGCTGAGCCTTTCGTGGTAATATTTCATATCTGGAAACATGCATGTGATGTAATCGAAGTGTGTAATTGGAGTCCATTATTTCCCATAAACATACTTTGTTATACATTTTCTAAAGTACAAAGACATTAAATACAGTTATAGAATTGTGGTTAGGTTCTGATCCAGTTTTCATTTTAATTGAGGGGAGATTTTTACACCCCCATGGACTAAATTTGAACTGCTTCACGCCCTTTGTTCTGACCTTGTAAAGATCATTCACTTATCCTACGTACATGCACACTGGTAGATTTATGTACAATTAATCTGGTCATAGTCAAACAATCTGGTCATAGTCTACCTAAAGTCTGTTTTTTTTTTAATCATTTGGGCTTTTGAGAACACATTATAACTTTGGTTCAAGATAAGTTTTAATGGAAAAGAAGTTGTAGTTACTGTGCTACATAGTTTACAGCTGTAAAAATTGAATGAATATAATTTTGTATCTTTGAGTCTTTCAGATTTGTCTCTGACTCCACTTTCTCCTACACTCTTCACCCATCAAATTCAAGTGAAGCATGTTGTCATTATGCTAAGAAATATTCGTGCTTTGTTTTTACCTTTTTTTGCTTTTTTAAAATCTTGACATACTTTTCTTAATTTTTGCTGTTAAAGTTTTACATAATGTTGTCACCAAATTGAATTAAATTGAAGTGAAATAAATGATACCCTTAATGTATTGAATCTGGTGCTTGATTCAGAAGCAAATACAGAAGCAATTCTCTGTCAAGCTGTCTTTTAGCTATCTGCTAGTATCTTTTTTTCAAGTAATAAAACATGTTTATCAGCGTGCCCATGCTTGAGTTTTAAAATTTACTTCTTTGTATCAAATGCATTTCATTTGAGTAACATGACTAGGCTCTAGCAAGTTGCTTATCGCTTCTGAATTCTCTGCTTGAATTGTGCATGCTAATTAGGGGTGATGCTGAAGAACAGTTTTCTCACTTGCTTTTATGGTAAAGAAAGTCCCTGATCTGTATACGTGTCACAGTTATGAACTATACAAATCAAGCCAGTCTGCAGAAAGTATACTGAAACAGTATTTGCACAGCTTGCCTGTTACCTTTAATAGTGCCTTTGGCCAGGGGCGATCCTGAGTTACACTTTAAAGTTGCACACTGAAAGCTAGGGGCGAAGTTCTGCTCCATGTGTCCATGTTGAGAAGTAGCTTGTTTCATGAGTAGTCCCTGGAATAAAGGTATTCTGACTAATGATTAAAGCAGCAGTCAGATGGGTTGTTGCCTCCGTTAGTGATGAGGCAGCAGTGCCCGTATGACTTTGCCTCTGTCCCTGACCTCCCTGCTTTTTGCAGAGTAAATTTCTTGTAGCATTCAGAGATCTTGTGATATATCACGAGAAGACACACTCGTCTTTGTGGTTTTTTTGGACTACAATCTAAAAGTAGAAATGGGAATTGATTTGAATCAGTATTACTGATTCACAGTAGTGCGTTTTGCTCCTAAGTATCCGTCACCCTTTGACGTTGCACAGCTGAGACATGTCCAAAGCAAAGGATTTCCTTACTTTTAATATTGTAATGAGAAGGTGAATTACATGAGTATCACCAGTAAGTATGGTGATACTTAATTTGGGTCAATTATTTTAAGGACAAAAATGTTTATATTGCACATGCCATGCGCATAGCTATCTAGCAGGGCTCATTTTAAAACACAAATGTATAGGTGTTGCCTATAACTGCTAGGTGCTGTACAAACATGGAACAGAGTTTCTGCCGCGATGCAGATTTACTTAAAATAAGAAGCAAATGATTGCTGAATCATTTATGTAGGATGGAATTTTTTAATGAAATAAGAAACAATTGCAAAGCAAAAGATAGAGCCTGAAAAGCAGTAAAAACAAAAATTTGGGAAAACTTGGATTCAGAGCATGAACATGATAAATGCTGTGTTCAGCTATTTGCTTTAAGCTTCACTAGGTGATCTAGAAAGGTCATTCCAGTATTGTATTATACTTAAAACATAGTAATCTGTTTGAAGGCTTATACCTTTCTAGCCAGTCGACTTTACAGCCTAAACTGATTCAGCCTATTTCTCTTTAAACCAGCTGTTGCTGGCTTAGGACCAAAAGATAAAACAGATTACTTCACTGTGATTGAAACCACCTGTTAAAATCTGGGTCCTACTACAAAGATTTTCGGGGTTGCTTTCAGAAGGGGTTCATGAGTTATGGCATGAAGCATGAGGACCAATATAAAGGGAGTCTCAGGCCTAAAGAAATGCCTTAAAATGGAGTAACCAGGAGAACTGTAGAGTCGGGAAAAGAATGTGATAATCTGACTTTCAAAAACCCCATCCAGTTTTATTCAGGAAAATTGCAGTGAGTTCTTTTTTCTAAGACAGCTCACCCATCCCTGCAGCAAATCAGTCTTCATAGGCCTGCATTTTAATGAGACTCTTCCAGTGTTGCAATAGGATATATGGTATCACAGTCCACTTTGAGTCCCACATGAGCACTAGTAGCAAAATGAAGCGTGATGTAAATAATCTAGGCTGAACTGAAAGCACAGAAATTAAATGTAATTATTTTATTTTTAAGTGAAATGGATGTACTGGTCATGACTCAAAATTTTAGCCTGATCTGAATCTACCATTTAAAGCAGAAATTAATACTTTCTGTTTTACATAAGTAATACTCAAGCTTTTATGTTTGTAGCTTGTCACTCGTGTAAAGTCGTCTTTTTTTGAGGATTTTCGTGTTAATAGGGCCATTTAAAGGAATTTGCTGTGGTGAATGAAAAAATGTTGCATGATCGTTACTGTAAACAATATTACTCACATTAACATTATACTTTATACCCCTCCCTGAGCATGTTTAATGACTTCAATCTTTGTCTTCATTATTCTTCATCCCTGAGATTTGTGGAGTAGTACGAACCAGCTGATAAACTTTTCTTTCTTGATCATCAGCTCAGAAAGTGTCCCAGGTTTTCCAAGTGGCCACCGTTTCTCATGATTGACAGTAGCCCCGTAGCAAAGGAGGGTCCTTAATTGAATTATCATTTTTGCTTGCATCCAGTATATGCAGAACTTTCTGTGAGAAAGGTGAGTCCACCCTCTGCCCTTTCTCCACGTTAGGAAAGCCACAGTGCCCACCAGGGGGAAGAACTGCTATCAGTAGTATAGAGCTGTAAAGTGAACCTAGAAAAGGGAATTGGTGAATATCCATGGCAATATCAGGAGAAGGAGAAAAAGGGCAGAGACATCAAGGGTATAAGCAAATCTCTTTCCTCACAGCTAATGGAGAAGTTTCTTGTTATAAGTGCGTTTAGGTTAGAATTCAGAATAGGTAGTTTCATGTCTGTGTTCAACAATCGGGAAACAAATCAAAAGGAAAACGATCTTTTATTTTAAAATTATGTTTATGAAAATACTTTAAAACACAAACAAGCACATAACCATTCCCAGTTCCTCTTTCTTAGACCTTTTTGGTGTCTTAGGGATATCTGAATACTTGTGGGTTTTGGTACTACTTCTCTGGTTATCTGGTGTTCATTGCGTTGCAGTTCTTGTTTCGTTGTTCGGGTCAGGGCAGGACAGGAGCAATTAATGGAAGGTAATCTCCTAAATGTCAGAGTTGGGGACGTGGCAGAGTCTGCTCCGGTAGCACTGGGCACAGCAGGGTGGCCCTGGGAGCTTTGGGGATGGCGGATGTCGTGTTCAGCCCTGATTTGGGCTGCACGGCCTGAAAGGCTCTGCAGTTCCACCAGTCTCCTGAGACATCCTGATCCTTTTCAGACCGTTCTTAGTAAACAGGTGACTGAGGGACTTAACGGTGCTTCTTACCGATCAGTTGTAATATATATACATAATACTATGTTTTCGAAAACATTGCAAGTATGTAAGAGTTGCTGAATGGAAGTGGGAATGTCCAAGAAATGGACAAACTTACTCTGTTTTGCTTAATGGAAGTATATTTGTATGATACTTGTCAGTGAGGCAACATACATGTTTTCCTGATTGATAAGTGATGGCAATATTTTAACTGTAACTATTTTACAATCTTTCAGGTGGCTATAATAGCAGGAAATTTTGAGCTCGCTGAATATATCAAGAATCACAGGGAAGCTGATATTGGTAAGCAAAATATTTACAAACACTGAAAATAAATTGGAATATATGTTTAAGCCATGATTTTACAAAGATAAGTTAAATCTGATTTTGCATGAGATTTGACAACGGGGCTGATAGCACTACTGAGTAGTTCTTATTTAAAAAGAAAGATAAGGGAAAAAGCTGAATTATTTTCAAAATATACTTCGGAAAAGAAAATTTGATAAGTAATGCAACAGAGTTATAGATCTTTTATGAGTATGAATATGCCAGTTTGTAACAGATTACACGCGTATACTCAGAAGAGCTAAATTGGCCCTTCTTGCAGGCTGTTTTGCACTGTAGCATCTGCCCAAAGCAGCTCTCAAGTAAGTATAACTGGTCAGAAGAGCATCATAAAGAAAGATGCTTATGTGGAATTGAATTCATGTACGGCAGAAACTGTCTATCCGTATCCATAAAACAGTATCCTCTCACTGAGGTTGATGTGAGGGACTGAGCTGAAGTCTAGAGCAGTTCTCTGTGACAGGCATTAAAGGGCCTTTGAGAAAAAACCTTAAGGCTTTTTAAAGATCTTTTTACATGGAGCATTCTGCCATTAAAAAATAAAAGTTTGATAAAGGGGTTTCTAAACAATTTAATTAAAACTAATTAAAATGCTTTAATTCAAATAAATGGAGGTTCTGCAGGAACGTCCTTAAGTTGAACTAAAAAAGCACTCTTTCTGAAATAGGAGTGTCTGTGTAGTCGTATACACTGATTTAACTCAGTGGTGTCAGTGGTGCATGTCTGTGACTTGGTAACACCTAATTTGTGTGGAAAACTATCCCAGCACACACAGAACCTAGGCGTGTAGGAGAACTGTTCTGGAGTAAGGGCCTCCTTTCCCTTTCCCTACCTAATTGTATATGATCTGCAAAACCGAGGACATGGCACAAAAATTTAGCATAAAAGTTCGTAGTGAATGTGGAAGGTTTTTACTTAATGTGGTGGAATAGTTACTTTCCATGTAATATGTCTTTCTTCTGTGTCCATAAACAATTTTGATGTAAAAAATTAACTAAAATGAACCAGTTATTCTTAATACGGCAATCATCCTACCTCTGTTTATATTTATGTATGGCTAAGGGTGCAGATGTTGAAATGAAAGGAAATGATCAGGTAGATTCAAACGTTCACCTTTATTCATGCCATGCTAGATATTTTGGCTTGCATGTAGAACCAGTGCAGAACAAGTATTGCATGCAGAACAATGCACAGTATTGCATTTTTCTGCGTGGGTTTTGTTCTCTTAAAGTAGTTGTGAACAATGAAAGAAAAAAGGCTAGTGAAGTAATGATTTGCTAGTATTGATTATGCATACGCTTATGGTATAAGTAGCAGTGGAGTATAAGGACACTTACAAATAGTAGCCCCAGAACTGAAATCAGACATTTGCCTGGAACCACATTGACAGTAATGTCATTAATTTTTGGAGTGACCAGTTCTGTGCTACTTTTCCTTCCCCCATAAACAGTGTTGTTTCCAAGTCACATCAGGGTATGAGAGAAAGTTGAATGTGGTTAAAAAGTAAATGGTTGAGACTCAGTCCCAGAAAGAAATGATAGCCTTGTGGTAGAGGCATTATGCAGAACTTCTTTAATATTTCTGGCTATCATACAAAGTTTCTGTATGATTTAGTGATTTCTGGAATTGAAATTTTGAGACGATTTTTCTCATTGTCTGGAAAAACAATGAGAAAATATTTCCTCTGGAAAGATTCTCCAGATTTTCCTGATGCCTTCATTTTTCCACTGAAAAACTGAAATATTGGTGCTTCTGTGATTTGCTTGCATTTTTGCAAGATAGATTTGTGACGCTGTGGTGCTGGATTAAACATAACTAATTAAATTGGTAGGCTGGTTTTAACGAGTAAGCATTACCTGATGTAATGTCTTCACAGCTAATTTAATTTAGTAGAGCATTTGTCACTTAACATTTATTACTTAAAGAAAAGTAAAGACATCAAAATGTTTACTTCTGGTATGTCTCCCAAGTTGAAAAAAAGAAAAACAATATTCTGAGCAGAAAATCTGACAGCTAGCGTGGTGATGAACATGCAGAACAACGTCAGCATTTAAAGTTTAACAACTTGGCTTTTACTTATCTTGCTCCTCTGGTTATGTGCTATATTTGTGTGGTTTTGGATGTGTTCCAACATATATCATTTCAGTAATGCACCTTCTCAGAGCCCAGAGGCAATATAGTGGGAAGGAATAGTAAAGAGCTAGAGTAGTATCCTCATGAAGATAAGAAGGATAGATCATGTTAGGAAGTCTCTCGAGGAATATATCATCCTCATCCCTCAGAAAATGTTAGAGACTATTTTCTGTTAGAGAAGACTTTGATTTTGAACCGATTTATTAAACCTTGCTGCTATTAAATCAGATTCATTTAATAATTGTAATTATTTTGTCTTTTGTAATTATTTTAGACCTATTTAATAATTTATAACTTTAGGAAGTTCTTCGGATTGTATGCAACTTTGGGGGGGGTGGGGGCCCTTTCCAGATTCTAACTGGTAGATGAAAAGCTGTTCAATGGTTTTAATAGTAAGCTTGTCAGCGATACTCGCAGTTATTTACAAGCGCATTCACTGGCAGGAGGGGATGGTGCTGGAGAGATTTGGCATTCATATTTTTATGATGAGGAAAAGATTTTTTTTTTTTTATGAGGTGTTAGATTTTGCAGAGGAAGAAAAAGGTATGTACGCATTCTCCTTGAATTACAATAGAACACAAGGAGAAAAATTACGTGTTTTTTTTTTTTTTTTTTACAGGGAGAGGGGTTCAGATTTATCCATCTAGAATTTAGAGTTAATGTATTTTTGAGCTTTCGCTTAAATATCTATGTTTTGCTAACCATGTCAGATGAGTTGGAAATCAAATGTCAAATGGATGTGCATTTGGCACGGTTCTCCATCTGTTACAAATGTGCTAGAAGAAACTCCACATTGTTCTTGAAAGGTTTCAGACCTAGTCTTCTAACTTGCGGTGATCTTGATTAAATATCTTCAGCTACAGATACTTCTAGAAGGCGAGCTTAATTTGCACCTAAGTACCTTTTTTTTTTTTTCCTTCCAGAAAGAATCTACCTCGTCTTTCCTGGGTGTGTCATCTTAAGAATGGGAAAATTTTGATTAGTGATAGCAGTGGGAGGCTGTACTTAACTTAGTGATTTCAAGAGCAGTTTTTTATCTGGTAACAGAAACTAGTTTTTGCATTTCTGAAACTGAAGTATGTGAAATATGGAAATGAATGTTTGCTTGAGATATCTGATCTTACTTAGTGAGGAACTACACTATCAGAGTCCATCTGTTTTGACATGTGCTAATTAACATTATTCTTAGATAATGTTGTTGTCCCAAAGTATTGCAGTAGGAAGTCACTTGTACTTGCAATGCAGAAGGTATTATGTGGGTGTCTTCCAGTTTGTCCGTAGTCACAAAGCTGTTTCAAGGAATGTTGCCAAAACTGCAGTTATGAGGATCTAACAGCACTAATGTAGTGCTTGTGAGTCATGGTCCTGTGCCATGCGTTGTCATGAATGAACCGCTGTGTTCGATGGTAGTGATTACAGCTCGACCTTTCCGCAGAACGAGGGTATCGCTGTCTAGGCAGTAATGGGATGAGTCCACAGTGTGCCAACAACAAAAACAGTAAATCTCAATGCACTAGTCCGCGAGAGCTCTACATAAATAAACGTACACACTTAAGCGCTGGCTATATCACTTCTTATCCGTTCCACCTTGCTGCCAATTATATTTCTTAGGCTTTTAGAGCAGGATACCGTTTTAAGCCGTACACTGTTCCAGCACTGTTCCAATTTTGTGGTTTAATAAGGTGTCCTTTTTTTTTAGATGCTAAGAATAACCCTATTGTTAAAGATGATGGAGAACCATCTCAAGTGGAAAATGACTAAGGTATCCTCTAGTGGTAGAAAATACTAATTTGCAGCAGAACTACTAAATCTTTATTCCTCTAAAAATACAAAACTCTATGGAGCCAGTCCCCGTGAGTGTTCTTCATTCTTTTCTTAATTGCAGAGCGGTGTTGCTTACCTTAGCTTGGCCTGCTCTCCTATAAAAATGAGGTAGTTCTGTACAGTAGTCAGGAAAACGCTACTTTGTTGCTCAGTGCAGAATTTTCATAGAGATAGAATCTTTTGTTATGTTGACAAATGTAACACTTTTGAATAAGCTCCTAATTATTATTCCTGAAGCAATTGCATTCGGCAAATATGCTGACATACTGAAAACTAGGAATATATAAAATAAGGTTCTCAGCAATAATCATAAGGCTTAATGTCTATAGACGTTGTAGATTGAAGAAAATGTAAAAATACTTATTTTAGAGCCAAAACAGGCCGAAATAACGACCTGTGTTTCATTTGCTGGAGCAATGTGACATCTGAATGAAGAAAGAGGGATGGTCTCATAAAGTATGCGGTATCTGCTTATCGCGCACAGATTTGGCCAGGTTAGTGCCTGTACGCGGGGCCAGTGGGAGGAAGTATGTTCAGTCAGAGCGCCAAAATCTGTCTGTTTCCCTTTGACAGCAGCAAAGTGAAATCAGGATCGTATCCAAAAGAGGAAGCTGTAGGTGCCATTGGCAACCTGAGCAATCCAAGGAGACGCTGTCTAGTCGCCTGGAAAAACAGAGAGGAGTTTGCCAGTAAAGCTCCTCAGCTACCTTAAATTGGGCTTCAGAGGCCGCTCTGCTGGTGAAGCTGAGTGGGTTTCAAGACAAATGATGTCATTGCGGGCTCAAAACTATCAGGAGAGGCCAGGTCTGGTAGATGGGCCCCGAGACAGCGCTGAGCAGCAGTGCCTCCCCTGGGAAGCAGGTGCTGCGGTTAGGCGACCTCCGTGTCGTTTCTGCATTCTGGCGAAAGCCTCGTTTCTGTGGCTGCCTCAGTCTGGTGGGGTTCAACCCTCTGTCTTCTTGGAAAACGTAGCAGAGGAAGCTTAAAACGAAGTGAAGGGC